AGATGATCTAGAACTGAGTACGGAAAAAAATGCGCTTTTACGTTTGTGGGAGTAACCCTTCAAAATTTCCACGGCCTTTTTAGAGAACTGGAATGTTAAATCTAATGAATTTTTCAATTCATTCTTTTCAAATAATCAGAATCCTGAATGACGTATGCGTAGTTGGAACCGATATTAATGAAACTTGAACAAACAATTTCGTGAAACAAGCATTTGTGAAGACTGTATTGATGACATCTTTCATAACAATCCAATATTTCGAATGCCCATAAGAAATGCGATCTAAAACGAAGGACGAGGCACTGGTTCCAAACAGGGAGGATGTAAGATGTGTATTTTTTCGTCCCATGCACAGGTAGCAATCTGTCCTTCAATATATAAATTGAAATCTACTCCTAGGACAAATTCTGTGTGAGCATCGTGAACACCCACTAACGGGTTTTCCTTATCGGTGTCCCACAATCTCAAGGTCATATCATAACTAACGCTGGCCACTATACTGGCCTTATGCGGTGAACACTTCACCCTACGAACTGCATATTCGTGCCCTCGTAAACAAACCAATTCACGAACGGTATTTCTTAAATCCCATACTCGTACGGTATGGTCGACGGATCCTGTGACAATCACATTCTCCCGATATTTGTTCCAATCGAGCGATAGGACTTCGTTAGAATTTATTATGTTTATGGTTTGGACAGATTGAGGAGCTTTGACGTCCCAGATTTTCACGGTTTGATCCCCCGATGCCGAACCAAAGATGTCGGGATTATAGGGCGACCATATTGTATTGTATACACATTCTCTGTGTCCCGTGTAAGTATTGATGGATTGTGATGACTCGGGATTCCACTAGTTTTTTTTACAATTGCCCCACGTCATGTCATTCCATTTTCAATAAGATGGTAAAGAATGTTTGATAACGTTTGAAATAGAAAAATGTTGCAATCGTGATATCGCAAGTAAACAATCTTACCAATTTAATGGTCTTATCCCAAGACCCGCTAACAATTGTGTCTTTCCTGACCAAGTTCCAATGTACAGAGAATACTTCTCTCCCGTGCTCATGCCAATTTTTTATTGGGAATTCCTGCTTGTGCAACGGAGATGATTCAAATTAGATGAATTCCACATGAAGATGCTTAGGATGATGAATCACCAGTACCGGAAGAGTTAAATCCCACAATTTTATAGATCCGTCACCGCTGGCAGTAGCAATTTGATTTTCATTAAGCTCACTCCACGAACAATCGAATAATCCATCTTGGGTGTCATATCTGGAATTCAATTATCGATGTCGCTAAATTATGATACTTATCCAAAGAGATAGACGGATCAGATTTTTTTCTCACTTACATTCTCTCCATCTCAACGCCAGTTGGACCGACCCCAACGTTCACTGTATACAATCTACCATTTCCAATCAGACCATAATTTGCCGACGTCGAGCACGCTATTTTATTTTCGATGAATGGACTGTATTGTAACTGATCAAGTTAGATTTTTGTATTTAATAGAAGATAGAAAAAATTTTTTTCCTTAATTTCTATTTATAGGAAACATTTATTTACAACGAATCATTAAGTGGCATGTGATTAGAAATGCTCTTTATTCCTCAAAATCACAAGAGCCTACCGAATATCCATTAAAACCTTGCGTATGAAAGCTCAGCATTCTTGTGCTATCATATAATCGAATCAATTCGTCTCGTCTTCCATAGATTATATAGGTGTGATGTGGTAGCACAGACGTTACACGAACGACTCTAAAAACATTGATTGCGTAACCTTTTTATTTCGCCGCGCGCGAACTACTTTATTTAATCTAGGATTCACAGATCACTGAATGGTATGTAACATCTTTTTAATACTGCGATTAAGTTATAATTAATTTTAATAAATGATATATAAATTTTGATTGATATTTCTTCAATTATATGAAATTTCCAAACAAATAATAATCAATAATTAATGTTTATTCTCTAATTTGCAATCATATTATCATAGCATGTCTTTATTTGAATATTGAATAAATATTTACAATATCATTAAAGAATTATTTTCAAAGATAAACTGTTATTGATATCAAAAATAATAAATAATTTAGTTAATATAAAACATTCAATAAGAAGTTAAAAACAAGTTCAAATATAAAAAATATATATAATTTTTAAAAAAAATTTTTTTAATATTTATAATAATAGATACTTATTAAAATAAAAAAAAACTCTTTCTTGAAAAATTCCCAACGGCTAAAAATTTCCTTATTAGGCAAAACACAAAATGAACTTGTTCTTAGCTACAAAAGTAATGCCCTTTAACAATATGGCCTTTACAAGGCAACTAAAAAGCTGAAAAAAATAAACAATACTAAAATACAACATCGATAGACCCAGTAAGAACAACAGTTAGATTTTAAAAGCAAAAGTGACAACATTTGTCTCTCAAATCAGACACTCCTTCCTTAGAATCAGAACAACACTTCTAAGAGAAAACTAATAGATATAGAAAAATAAAAGAACAATATAACCATACCGACAAAAGTGATAGAGGTAAAAAAAAAACAAATCAGACTATAGAAATAGCAGATAACTTTCCAAATAATAAAGCATTATCCCCTCTCACAGTCTATAAATTAAAAAACAAGAGTATACAAAAACCACAAACTTAGAATAGATAGATAGATATTACCAATTAGATAGGATATACCTATAAAGATAAAAAAAATAGACAAAAAAAGATAACTCCTATCTGATACTATTAAGAATATCAAGAGACTTTCAGATCTAGAAAAACAATCATCAATTCAGATCTGGTCCTCAAATAGACTGCTAAGAAAAAGATAAGTTTTATCAATCAAAAAATGATGTATCTCTTCTCCTTGAAATATGTAAAGTATGGATATCCAATCGAAAAATCACAGATTGCTACTATTTTTGGCAATAAAAATGATATATAAATGGCATGTGAACTAGATATTACAAAGAATAAGAATGTCAAATTCAAAAAGATCACTCAATTGGATTCCCAAGAAAGCAACTCTTGTACAATCAAAGTATGGAATATTTTCTTATATTTTACTAAGACTAATTTAACAAAATTTTTTAATGAACAGATTAGCATTGATTATATAATTTTGCAAAAAATCAGTCCCTTCTAAATAGCAAATATAACTTTCTCTAACACATTATCTATATAAAGTTTAATCAGGAATGGTCATCAATTTGGAACTTCTACTTATATAGAATCTTTCATTCTATAGAACTCATGAAGTCAAAGAAAAAAAAAAATAATATAGTCTTATATTTACACAATTATCACCAAATACAACAGCATCTAATTTAATAGTTATAATTATAAGCACTAATGTAAAATTAGTTTATATTCCTTGGGATAACAACAATCAAGTCAAAAGATTTACCATCCTTATTTTTTAGTCAAGAAAAGAATATCAACCAGTCAAATCATCA